GCCCCCATCCCGCCGCGGCCTTGCGGATGAGCCACGTGTCACTTCTCGTCATCGCCATCATCATCCGCCGGCGGGCCGCTGCCGATCCACCCGTGTTTTGCTGCTTCCGCTGCATTCTTGAGGGCCGCGTTGTGACCGAAAACCAACCCGCAATCGGCCCATTCGGGGATGCAATGCGGGTAATCTCCCAGCGTGAGGTGGGCCTTCCCCAAACGATCCAAGACGAGGTTGGCGGTGTCAACGATGTGCCACCGCCAGTTGAAGATGTAGGAGCCCACCGCTATGAGTGCTGGTTTGGCGACCATGGACGCGTAGAACGATGCCTCGTAGTGCGAGCGGTCGTCATCACCGCCCATCCGCATGATCCACATGCACTCGCTCAACAGAACTCGAAGACAATCCGCAAGGCGCGTCAACCTATCCTGTTTCACACGGCCACCGTCCGTCCATTGCCCGCACCAAACTGCATCTGTCCAGCAGTCTGCCAAGCGCAGAACTGCCGCCTCCTGCCGCGCCGCCATGTCGTCGTCTTCGGGCCTATCCACAATCTTCACTCCAGAGAACCATAGAGGCACGTCCATCTTCATCGCCAGCGTGTGGTAGACAAGGGCAGGGGAAACGACTTTCGACCATTCTAAAGCCTGCCAGACTGCTCGCGCGACGTCTGTTGCGAAGTCCACTGTCACGTACGATTCTGCACGAGCGAAGCCTGTCGACCTCGACGACGATTTGAAGATCCAGCCGTGGATGGCACGCAGCACCACTTTCTCCACGTTGCGCGCTCTGCGCAGAGCCGGTTCACGCTGCGCAGGGTCATCGATCTTGAAGCGCGGCACATCTTTCGGCGGCATTACCAGCATTGAAGGCAGTTCCGCTCCTGCATCCCCGCTGGCGATGGTAACGAAGTAGTCCGTGCAATCGCCTACCGCCTCCTTCAATGGCTTCCCCGATCAGAATGCGTCGCAGTCGATCCACAACTCCGACCTCTCTTCGAGATCATCCTCTTTAACCCCTTTCTTCACCGTCGCCGAAACCGGACGGTCGTCGTCACCATCGCCCCCCCCCCTGGCATCCTTCCTCCCATCATCGCGGCAGACGTCATCGACCCTCCCCTCTCCCGCACCCTCCGCAACTCCGCTCCCAGTGGTGTTATCCGCCGCCGCCGTCCGACCACCGCCCGCCGTCATGTCGACCTTTTGCGCGGACGGTGTTTTTTCCACCCCTGAAGTCCCCGCCTGTAGCGCTGGGATTGGCTGACGTGGTGCCACCTGCCCGACCTTTGGCGGAACTTGTCTCGCCACGCGCGCGTCCGTCATGACAATCCCTGCCGACTTCGGGGTTCGTGCCAACGAGACGGCGACACCACCGACCAAGCCTTGCTTCAGAGCGGCCAGCTGATCCCTCGACACCCCGTCCCGCCCAAACCCCAATCGCTTCATGACGTCCGCCCCTTGTGCATCCACCATCGACTCTTCCTCGCCGTGCAAATCCCCACTATGTTCGGAGCTGTCGCCATCGAAGCGCGACCTTTTCGACTTCGGTATGTGCCCTCTGCCTTTTTGGGTCTCCCCATCGCCGCCCGATCCGCTGTTTCTTTTCGCCTTCCCTGAAGGGCCGCGCGGTGCCATGTCGTCCACAAAGAAGTGCGTGCCGAATGCAAAAAGCTGCGGCGCTTGGCTGACGTGGACGAAGGACCACGTGGACGACGGGAATAAAGGAGTGGCGGGAGGTCGATGACGGGCACCTTGCCGACGGACGACGTTGATGATGCGGCGCTTCGCTGCTGTGGACGAAGGACCAGTCCGATGGCACGCCGCTTGGCTGGCGTGGATGCAGGAGGACGTGGATGCCCGCGGAGCCCAAACCCGCCGATCGTAGCGTGACAAACGGATGACTACGCCTGCGACGACGATACCATGCATAGACAGTGCCTTTGGAGTCGTCGCGATAGAATGCCTGCGGTACGGAATGCCTCCCGGAATGCCCTTTTGTACAGTGCGTGGTCTCGCAGCACACCATGGACAGGCCAGGCCGTCCACTACAGCCCGCCCCTTCGTCGATTCACAACAAACGAGTTTTCTCGCGGCGTGGAGGTCATCCTCCGCATGACGAACAAGGCACGACGGCGCGCAGGCGCTCCCCCCAGGAGGTACAAAGACCCCGCCCCCCATCCGTCCTCTCCCGCCCCCAAAAAGGCCAGGCAGTCCAATCCGCCATTTTCCCCGCGCGTCCCAAAAAAACCCACCCTGCCGCCTACACATTCGCGGACACCCCCAAAGAAGACCCTGGAAGATCGCCATCCATGCGTGGAGACAACAACTCACAACAGCGTTCTTTAAACACTATCTAAAAAAACGCAGGACCTGTTGTACAACCTCAGGACGCAGTGCGGGGCATGAAAGTAAACAACGCCCTTCACAGTCATGAATAAAACCCGCGATTATTATTAAGCGTGAGCAATGACGACTCGCCGACTGTACAGAACCTACACATCACCGTGCTGCAGCACGGAGGACAATGGAAAAGGCGACGTGCCGGAAGCGCACACTGGCCATGCCTCCGGACGTTCGACATGCCTGGTCGACCCACGTCAAGCTCGTTCGCGGATCGCTTTAGCAATCTCCATGAGGGCGTTGCAAATCATGAAGTTCGCCTGGTCAGCCTTCTCGTAGTGATCCTTCGACACTTGTATCTCTCTCTCCAGAATGTCGCATTGCCTCGTCAGAATCGAGCGCTGCCTCTTGCTCGCGCTGTCCACCGTCGTCGACATCAGCGCCCCGTGCTCCTTTATGACCTCCGTCATCGCCTCGAAGGTCTGCTGTCTGACATTCTTTCGTTTGCCGGCCCCGCCACCGCCACCGCCGGAGAACGACGAATCCCTCGTCGATCCGCGATCGTCGTCCTGACCGCCCCCCCCTACGTCACTACCGCCGGATTCGTTTCGCCCACCAACCGTGCCAGGCAATTGAACACCTCCCGACGCACCCGTGTCCGCGAGATTCGTGGGGTGTATAGTGTGATCGCCCCCGGACATCGCCTTCATCTCCGAACACATGCGCTCATCCATCCTAAGGTCGAACCCCCGCTCCCTCCTCTCCCCCGGTGTTAGTGTGAAGAAGTTAGGCTTCCGGGACTCTCCCATGAACTTGTGCACGGATTTGAACTGCTCGTACAGGTTGTCCCATTTCTTTCCGCAGTCGACGGCCTTCCTACTCGTCACCCCCATCTGCACCAGCCTCTTCTCCACGTCCTCCCACTTCCATGTCTTCGTCTTCATCCGTCCGTAGTTGTGCCCCAGGCCGGCCAGATGCCCTGGTCTCTTTTGGCTCTGATAAGAGCTATCATATGCTCCACTGTCCAAAAATCCCTGCTTTTTGTTCCGTCGCCTGCCAACGATTCTTCGCCGCACTTCTTGCCTTTCCACCCCGTGCGCGATTCTCTAACCTTGGTTCTCGCCGTCGACCCTCCGCGCTTCCTCCCTACTGGACGAATCTCCACCTCGCCGTCGTCGTCTTCGTCGTTGTCATCACCGCCGTCGTCCGCAGCGATCTCCTCGCCCCCCTCCACCAGCGCAGTCCTCAAATTTGTCTTCGGCCCCCACACTGATTCTCGCCACCCCTCTCGTTATGCTGGCCGTGTTCGTGGAACGCAATCGTTGCCGTTCATCATCCCAAAACTGACGACCGACGACCTCCGTGGCATCGCGCTCGTCGTCGTCCCCTTCTCCGTCGATTGCACCGCCTGGCGTCGTCGTTCGGCAGCCTGCCAATCCAACTGTCTTCGTCCTCGACGCTGCCACACTTGCTGTACTTAAAGCCACCCGCCTCGGCGAAACGAATCCACGGCTATCCGCAGGGCTAGCCGCCCTCACGGAAGGCGATGTGTGTTTGGAGGCAGAAGTCGGTTCACGACAACAGTGTGCGTCAGGCCCTCGCCACTCCCAGACCTCAGACTGAAGCTCAGATCGACGAGTCCAGCGTCGTAACCAGCGGGGGTCCGTCCCTCCAGCAAATCAGTGTACGTCGGCGTCGATGCGTGTCTGTACACCTGGCTCCCCATCCAATCCTGCGTCGAGCCGCTGCCCAGAGGAACCGTTGAGGATCTTGGGTCGTCGACGTCGTCGTCACTCGGAGGCAATGGAATCTCGTGGGATGGCAGGTGGCTGTACAGCATCGGGTCGTACGACCGCCTGCCGCCTTCCGCACTGTTGCAACGCTGACGCGAGGACCCCCCACCTCCCACCGACATCGTCGTCTTCGTCTGAAGCTTATCCATCTTCGTCGACCTCTTCGGCGTTCGACGCGTCTGTTTCCTTCCAGGAACACGACCGAGGAAACAGATGTGGAAGACGACAACGATGAGCAGCAGCAGAGCGACGAGCAGCAGCAAAGGCAGCCTGCCGTACAGGTCTGCCATCAACGTCAGGTCAGCCGGCACAGAACCGTTGTCGCAATTGCGGCGAGCAGAGACACACTGTGCGAGAGGGAAGACGCCAACGAACGAAATTCATGCAAGCAGCGACAGGGGGAGGACGCTTACAAAATCCGTAATTTCGACCGTTGGGAAGCCCGCAGGAACGCCACGAAGCCTCCGGGCGCCGGCCGAAGACGTCCGACGATCGCCATGGCCCCTCCGTGGGGCTGCCCGAAGGACCTACAGGGCCGTCCCGCGATTCAGCGCCAACGGTAAAACGAGGAGGCCGTTGCTGGAGGTTTTCGACTACGACGGCCTGGGATGTCCGTCTTTTGGCCGCTGGACCACCACTGGACCACCTTCGGCCTCCAATTTCCGTTCTGGAGTAGCCGCCGACACCCCGTTAATCGCGGATCCTCGGGCTCCGAAGGACTTCGCGAGGTCCTTCGAGTTCGAGGACGATTTGGCTGGGAAATCCTCGGAGCCCGAGGATTTGTCCTCGGAGTGTTTTCACATTTTCATTTCCGATTTCATCTCCGAGGACAGGTGGAACGACGACGGAATCCTTGGAATCGCGTCCCCGAGGAGTGTCTAACGACGCCCTTTGTCGTACGCTCAGGTGCCAGCCCCTCGGGTAAATTTGTGTTGTTCTGTTTTCGAGAGAGATAGACAAGACACCCGAGTTTATTGCACCTGGGGGGGGGGGGGACTACAGCACAAAAAAAAACAAATAGTAGTTAAAAAAGAAAAAAACTGGCTGATTATGCAAAGGGATATTAGTAAATAAATAGAATGATCCAAAAAAAAAAAAAGAAAGACTTCCTGCTGATGCGGTGGCATGGCTTTGTGGTCGGAGTGCGGTACAGAGACCTGACTGCCCACCGAGGAAGTTTCTTTTCTTTTTTTCTTTTTATTTTATTTTAGGGGAAAGCCGTTTCACCAGACCACAATCCTGGGGCTGGTGTAAGAGAACCACCGGGATTGAGGCCTTGGCTATTGGGCTGCTCCATCTATTGGTGGGGAGCGACACCTGCTGGAAACCGGGTGCAGCGTCCCGTGGAAACAACATTCTTATAACACAGTGCCTTGCGGCTATGGTCACTACCTACAGTCTTCCCCCGAACACAACGTACGGTCATTATAGCCGAATACTGGAACTGACAAGATGGACCTAGCCTTATACTGGAACTGACAAGATTGACCAAATTCGGCTATAAGGACCGTACGTTGTGTTCGAGGGAAGACTGTAGGTAGTGACCATAGCCGCAAGGCACTGTGTTAGAATAATGTTGTTTCCACGGGACGCTGCACCCGGTTTCCAGCAGGTGTCGCTCCCCACCAATAGATGGAGCAGCCCAATAGCCAAGGCCTCAATCCCGGCGGTTCTCTTACACCAGCCCCAGGATTGTGGTCTGGTGAAACGGCTTTCCCCTAAAAGAAAAGAAAAAGAAAAAAAGAAAAGAAACTTCCTCGGTGGGCAGTCAGGAGGGGGATCCCACTAGCCAGGTATGTGGATTAGTGTGACGGGTGGGGGACGGGTGGGGGACAGGTGGGTGGCAGCGTGAAATAGGGAAAATAAACGTAAAAAAACAAGGGCAAGAGTAACTCCATACACCATTTGCTGTAGGTGAGGGGATCGAACCCTCCAAAACACCTCCCAAAAAATAAGAGGCCACATGCATGTCAAAGGAAGAGGACAACAGCATTGCCCATGTGAAACATTTGBGGGGACTACAGACAACTTGGACGAGGGTCTGACACGGACTGACATTCAGTCCCTCATGATGGGAAACACCGAAAAATTTTGTTTTCGGCCTCTCTTCCACGCATGGGCTACGACCCAAAGGTGAGTGAAAGGTGAGTGAAAAGCAACACAAAAAAAATGGGTCTGGTTTTCACTCACGTTCGGGACCCCCAGAGGAACACCGCAAGCAAAACAAAAGAAAGACCACCCAATGGGATGCTCCAAAAAAACATATATTTTCGAGGGCTAAAATACAGGAAAAACAAAACCACCGATCCCCATTCCCATCGACGGCGGAGGCGGGTCACACGCCCTCTACACTACTCCACATACAATGCTAGTGGGATCTCCCTCCAGGTCTCTGTACCGCAGTCCGACCACAAAGCCATGCCACCGCATCAGCAGGAAGTCATCCTTTTTTTTTTTTTGGATCATTCTATTTATTTACTAATATCCCTTTGCATAATCAGGCAGTATTTTTCTTTTTTAACTAGTATTTGTTTTTTTTTTGTACAATGCAAAAGTTTTGCAGGGAACATCCTGCTGACAAATTTGAACTGCAGCCCCGTGGGCTGCCATATCGCAAGGAGTCGTCCCTGTTTTTCTCTTGACGACACACCACAAGAGACGATGGGCCCATGAGATTCGCAAAGCAGTATTTCGGTATAATAGAATATAATAAAAACTAATAATATAGCACTAAGATAATTCCAAGCCTCGGATAGTCGCTGAGTCGCTGTTGCATAATGCCGGCACCCCTCTAGATGACACCTTACAGAGATGTGAAACGGTATTCACCAATTCGTGGTAGATGAGGTAGATCCCAGGGCTCGATCCCTAGTTCCCCAACTTACCTGTGTACAATACCDGCGTCAACTCGAAGAGTTGAACCTGCGACCTGTAGAACCGCCAGTGGTAGGTAGGTCTGTCGTAGGTCTATAGGTAGCCAGGATTCGATCCGTAGACCTATAGACTAGAAGGCTAGCTGCAGTCCTTCTAGAAGGTTGGCAAGTGGTCAA